ACTATAACTTAAAGGGGTTTATAAGCACGACGGTTTTAAACCGTCAATAGGTTTAATAGGCTAAGTAGCTTACGAACTTTTACTTTATAATCTACCATCGACCTAGAAGTATAAACCTAGCTAATAGAATATTAAGAAGACCTAACTATAAAGAAGGCGCCTAGAATTATAGTAGCTATAGGGTCCTAGAGTAGCTATAGGCCCAACTCTTAAGGACGAGGTTAGATTTTAAGTTATTAGGTGATTAGCGAGATGCTAACATTAATACCGGTAATTAAATCTCTAAGACCGAAGCCGGTAACCAAAGACGCGGTACTAAAGTCCCTAGTAGGCCGTTTATTAGCGCTATCGGGAAGGGCGATAATACCCAGCGTAAATATCTAATTAACCTCGCCTAGTTAATTATGGATCTATAGAAGATAGACCCGACAGTTTTAAAGTTGCGTAAAATATAGTAAGATAGGTTATTATAGACTAAAGTAGACTATAAGTGGACCTTCGTGGACGGCTTACTTTACTATAATAGAAAGTGCTATATGCCGATAGATAACGCGCGATTTAACGTAGTTAGCCGATACCATAACGCTAACCTAGTAGGATACTTTAGGTATGTACGTACCCTAAGCTTAATTCGTTAGTACTATTTTTAGGAAGATATACCTAAGTACGTTAAAGAATAGATAGCTACTTATCCGATTTATCAAAGAACGAAGGCCCCTAGATATAAGCTATATAGGAATTTACAGCCTCTTTTAGTCCCCCTCTTTATATAGGAAGATGTTACTATAGACTTTATAGTTAACTTACCTCTAAGCGAGATACTTAGAATAAGTTATAATTCTATTCTTATTATCGTGGATAGACTTATAAAGATATCTAGGTATATCCCGGTATAGAAGATGATTACATCTAAAGAACTAGCGTAGGTGTTCTAGAACGAGATTATTAAGGTCCATAGTATACTAAAAAGGATCGTTACGGACCGAGGAAGTACCTTCACGTCTAAATTCTAGACGTTATTCTACGAAATAGTAAGTATAAATAGAAATATATCTATAGTATTTTATCCTTAGACGGATAGCTAGACAGAGCGATAGAACTAGACGCTCGAGGCCTATCTACGCGCATTCTATAATTTCAAGTAGAACGACTAGGCCTCCCTACTAAGTATAGTAGAGTTCGTATATAATAATAGTCGTTATAGTACGATAGATATTATACCTTTCTAGGCGAACCTCGGACGCAGTCCAAGGATAGGTTTTAAGCCTTAGACGGTCTAATTTAATTAAATAACAGACGTGAACGTCCACGCTTAGGAATTAGCGATTAAAATCTTCGAAACCGCACGCAACTATCGCGCTATAATCTAATAAGTAAACGACTCGTATACGAAGTACTATAATAGGTTAGCTAAGGATTAGACGTACGAGGAGGGCGACGAGGTCCTTCTTAATATCCGTAATATACGAACGTCGCGAGTAAATAAGAAGCTCGATTATAAAATGGCTGGTCCCTTCCGAATCAAACGTCGTATCGGTATAAGAGCCTACGAGCTCGACTTAGGAAGTAACATAAGAATCCATAACGTGTTCCACGTCTTACTACTTAAAAGATTTTAACCTAACGTATATGGCCGCACGAACGTATAGTTATACTCTATTATACCCTAAGATAGACTAGACGTGTTCGAAGTGGACTATATTGTCGAACATGGGATCGATAAAGACGGTATTTAGAAATATAGAATCCGTTAGAAGGACTACACCGAGGACGAGGACACCTAGAAACCAGTAGTATATATCTTAAGTTCGGTAATGGCTGCGTATAAGTAAAAGGTGTAGAATAGCGTATTATTAATGTAAGTATAGCGACGTCGCGGTCGTCGTAAAAAGAAGAAGGATACCGTAGAGAACGAAGTACTAAACCAGGAAATCTAGACGCGCACTAGGAAAACTCTATATAGTAGCCCCATAATTTAAGCGTCGCACGGTTACCAGACGCGAAGAAAGCGTAAATAACCATTTTAGGAACGCGACGCGACATACCATAATAGAATAACATAGAAGAGTCTAGAATGGACCAACATGGACCATTATACACGAGAAAAATATGGGACTAAGAACCTAAAAAGGTACCCCACCATAGAATTAAACTCTTAACACGAAACATAAAAGGTTAGAGTACCCGAACTAATAACCACTAGGCCACTAGTTCGGGTGCTCTAATAGAATTCATAGAGATAAACTAATTAATATGCGGTGCCCACACTTAGGTAACTTAAGGAAAATTAGAATATAGAAACCGATAGTCATAAGCTAAGCGAGCGCATATATAATATCGTTAAGTTAAGAATTAAATTACTAGGAACTAGCCGATAGGTATCTAAACGGTCTAAAAAGAACTAAAACGGATAAAAGCCAGGTAAATAGAGTCGGCGCGCACCACCTATAGTAGATCTAGAACACATAGAGCTAATATACAGAGCTAAACCCATAGAGCCAGAACCATAGAGCTACTCCTCCATCTTATTATCCGTCCTAACCTCTAGTATAGTTCTCTCTAACCGCACGATATAGCGGCGGAGGACGACGACCTTAGCCTCTAGAGTAATAACTTAATCCGTTAGAGCCTAGAGGGAAGAGCCTTAAGCACTAGAGCGCAGCGACTAGGTCTAAAGTTAGCTAATACGATCTAGAATAATCTAGAAGGGAATATATACCCTCTTACGAGGCGACTTAGAGGGAGAAATAGTAGACCTCTTATAAGATCCGTTAGTAGCGTAAGACGGATAGAGGGGGATAGAGCGAATCCTCTCTACGGCCTCTATAGCTAGAATAGACTCCCTAGAATAGGTAGCCTAGGCGCTAGGGATCTCGCGGCGGCTAGAAATATTAATAGATGTTAAAAATAATTAACGTGTTCGTAACTTACACTTTAATAACCTCTAGAAAGAGCTTATAGCGCTCCCTAAACTCCCTCTATATAGTAGATAGGTAGCTATAAGGACCCCCGAGGGTCTCACGGACGCGAAGGTCGTTATATATATCTTATATACGCATAGGAACCTAAGAATGTATTAGCGCGGATAACTTTAGATTACACTAGACTAAGATAGCCCATTATACTCACCTATAGATAAGTCTTACTAGTCACGGTATAGCGGTAGTAGCGGGTAGGTAGAGTAAAGATAGGGTGTATAGGCCCGTCGCGGTTAGTAGAGTAGCAGCTAATACTAGAGTTAGAGCGAAAGAGATATTTAGAGCCGGCTATATAGCCCTTAATATACTTATAGTATATCGAACCGTAGTTCGCCGTTTTCCTATAGCGTAAACCGCGACCACGTTTAGTATCCTCGGCGACCCAGGCCTTATTATTAGTAGGCTAGGGTTTAGAGCGGATATTAAGGTTCTAAAAGGACCTAGAGTAACTAAATCGGTCTATATTAGACCGGAAGGAAGAGCGGCGAGGCGGCGGCGTGGGTAAGCGCGAGGGCTTATAATTATTATCTATAACGAGATCTTCTTCATCCTCTAGAGGAGATAGAGTAGACGGCGTGCGCGTTAGAGCGAGGGGAGAACTTACGACCGCTTCATCCATAAATTTAGTACTAGAATCACCTAGATTAGAGCGACTAGTAGCTACATTAGTAGTAGAGGCAGAAGTAGTAGTAGTAGCCCTAGCTACTCTCTTCTCTAACTTAGAGCGCGCCTTCGTACTACCGCGATAGGTAGGCTTCTTAGCCGGCGTAGCCGGGGAGGAGGTAATACCTTTAGAGCGAGTCTTACGAGAGGAGGAGATAGGCTTAGAGATAGGACTAGTATTAGATATCTATATACACACGTTAGCTAAAGATCTAAGGAAGGAATATTCGTCCACCCTTAACGGTAATTAATAAAGCTAAATTAGTAACCGTAATAACGCGAATAGGTCATATAGGACCGGTTCTAATAAGAATGGACTATAATAGACCCTTCTAAACCTAAACTAGGGAAGATAGTATATGAATTAACGACTTACCTTAAGAGCGAGGTAGATATACTAGAGAATAAAATCAAAGGCGAGCGAAGCTAAATATATACTCGACTAGAGTAGTAATTATATATCCTAGGTAGTAGCCACGAAGTAAGGAATAAGCGCGTGTATAAACTAGTAAAAGTAAACTAGAATCTCGAGTTCACCTATATTAAGGATAGTTATAACGTTATAGAAACTTAGTCACGGATATATAGGTACACGATAGATTATAGAGACTTAGGATTATATATACTTAAGTGCTTCGGGGCGAAGCATAAAAAGAAGAAGGATATTATTAGGACGGGAACTATAACGGACCTATATAGACTATTCTAATCCATGTAGCCACGTAGTGGCTAGAGCTGGGTCGAGTTAGCTAAGTTAAGCGAGGTTACTATATAAGTGGACCGTATAAACCGACTCCTGCTCGTTAGGAATTAACCTCGTATGAGAGTGAGACTACCCTATAAATACATTCCTATGTCTCTCTATAAACTGTTAGACTACTATCCTACGTCTTTACTCTTTACACTAGTATTATAAAATATATAAGAGATATTAAGTAGTAAATAGCTCTTAAAAGTTATAGAAGATAGACTTTATAATAGAGTTTTATCTTAATAGAGTTATAATCTCTTAGATTCTCTATTAGAATATATAGATAAGAAGTAGAAGATAACTTTCTAAGACTCTACTAGATGTAGTCTAAAGAAAGCCTTTTACTATCTATATTATATAAGAATTAGATATAGATAGAGACTTACTCTATTCTATAGTATATATAATTTCATAGAGCTCTAAGTTATATATAAAGAAAGATAGAATTTTAATAAGATAGTAATTAGAAGTTCTACTAGATAGTACTATAGCTAAGTCTATACTAGGTGATGTTAGATATACTACGTGGTGTATATATCATTCACTAGAAGCATAATCTAAGGTTACACTTGATAGTACTTGTTTAAACGATTTCTATTACTACAGTGCCGGGTCTAATTAATACATAGTGCGAGGTTTCATGCTATCCTTGAAGCACCTCTTCAAGTGCGACCTTGCTTCCGCAAGGCGGAGCCATTCCCTCTCCCTCTCCGCCCTCCGCGCAACTATCTCCAGGCGCTTCACCTCCTGCGACTCGGCGAGTCGCCCGGTCCCGATGACCCTCTCGGACCATTGTGGCGGGACATACTCGCCGTCGAACGCCCAGACGAAATCCTCCTTGTCGATGACCTCCTGGCCCTTACCGCTCAGCACACTCCGCTATAGTAACTATTAGTTTCAACTCCCTAGAGAAAAGGGGTAGGGCGGAAGAGGGGTGTATTCTGAAAACGTACCACTCGAAGCTCGTAGAACGGCTTCGTCCAGGTCTCAGCGCGCTTGGCCACCAAGAAGGCACCGACGTCGTCGCTGGTCTTGATAAAGACACGCACCCCGTCATGGTGGTAGTAGATGGCGCCATTTTTGAGCACGTTGGGGCGATTCAGCCGGGCCTGGATGGCGCAGACCAGCTTGGTGAGGTCAAAGCCGGAGTATCGTACCGGACGGCTGGGGAAGCGCGGGTTCGTATCTACGTGGGGAGCCGGGATGAGATCGCGTAGCGGCGCCGTCATGTCTTTGCGGAGCTCATCCAGCGGCACCAGCATCAGGTCGTGCTGGGTGATGATTGGGTGGTTGGGGAAGGCGATGATGATGGCCTGGGGCTGGAAGTTCGGGCGGTGCGGGTTGGAGCGGTTGGTGGAGGCAGACAGGTCGAGGTTGTTGTGCGGGTATACTGGGCAGACAGGGGAGAGGCCGGTGAGCTTCCAGGAGGTGTGGTTTTTACGCACGTAATCTCGCTCGCGCTGGAACCAGCCCTGGAGGGCTTTGGCACGCCAGGCTTCGGAGGGAGAGGCGATATTTTTGCTGGCAGGGGCGCCGGGGCCGAGCTCGATGGCGAAGCGCCTTCTGATGACTTCCATGCTGGCGAGGGCTTGATCTTTGTCTGCTTGCTGGCCGAGGTCCAGATCCCAGAGGTTGTGGTCGAGGATGTACTGGCGGATGTTCATGGTGATGATCCAGTAGAGGTGAGGATAGAGGTTGAAGCCTCTAATGAGCTCTGCAAAGGAGCCTAGTCTATTGTAGCCAACTATGCGGTTATAGACTCTATCATGGTACCACACCTCTGATGATTGAGGCTCTCCATTGCGCCATTCGTAGCTGGGAACGAGGCTGTACGGGTCTATAAGGTCTATAATGGGTTGGTCAGGTCCCAGATTAAGGTCGGATCCAGTAGAGTTCATTTTGAAAGCTTGTAAAGGTTTTTGAGGATAGGTGGCGAGAGTCTAGATTGGCAAAGAGCTGCGATAAGGAGATATTTTCTGATAGACGGCAGAGACAAAAGACTAAAAGACAACAAGATGTGAGTCTTGAGCAAAGAAATAATGAAAATCTTGACGATGAGCTGCGTGTTTATCAAGCTGGTTGATGAAGAAGCAGATCAGGGAACATACCTTCGAAAGTCGATAGAGATGAGAGACCACCGAGGGTAGGAGACAGTCTCTGAACAGAAAAGATGCTAGAGCTACGTATGAGAAGGGTGATACTTAAGTTGCTTGCTAAAGAAGTACGTTGGGAAAAGATCTGGCGTTGCAAGGGGATGTTGAGACAAAGGTGGAGAGATCTGTAGATGAAGCTCACAGAAGAACTTAAAATCCTGTGCGCGATGCCGGGTAAGCTGCGGGTTAAGTGGGAGGGTAAACAATAGGCAAACACGCAGGGGATTGTGCTAGCGGGATTTTGTGGAGCTTGAGATCAGGGATGTGCACGGAAGTCCTTCAGCATACTTAGAAGGGAGAGATCGACTTGTAGAGTCAAGGTAATTCGTTCGATAGTGAGTGGAACAATAAACGGCAGTGCTCTATTTATCATAGAGAAGCTTTATCAAGATGAGGTCTGGGTATCTCCAAGTTCCAACGGGCCAAATCGATGCTACATCCCATATACTGACCCTTATCTGCCTGGTAGGATATCCTATATCATCTATGCAACGCCCCCTATCACGCCCAAAAATGCCTAATAGGACAAGATGACTCGAGCAGGATAAACTGGGTAGAGCAGGATAAGCTACTGTGAGCAAGACAAGATACCTAGAAGCAGGATTGGATCCCTCAAGCAGAACAAGCTATGCCGAAGCAGATCAAATCAGGGTAAGGTGGCTTGAGAGGGACATAATACCTCCAGCAGGACAAAACCCCTGGAGCAAAATAGCATATCTTGAGCAGGAGAAGCTGCCTCAAGCAGAATCAGACAGCTCGAAGCAGAACAATGTGTCTCGAGCAGACACAATGGCTCGAGCAGGACAAAATCCTTTGAGCAGGACAAGATCTTTTGAGCAGTACAAGATAGCCCAAGCGGGACAAGATCCCTCGAGTAGGACAAATTGATTGAGTGGCATAGCATGGCTCGAAGCAGGACGAAACAAGTTGAAGCAGTGTACATATCACAAACTACCACACGTAAGATCTAATACCCTCCCAAGCGCTCCTTTCCATGTTCATCCCAGCACCCCTTACCCCAATATCTAGCCATTCCGAGGTTACAACTCCGAAGTACGTGGGACGGGTAGATTGGGACTACCCAGACTCTATCTAAGAGATGGAAAGAAGCCTCAAGCTCATAGATCAGCCTAGGACCAGAGCGTAGCTTCGCCACCGCAGCATCTCGAACCTATACAACTCCTAATACAAACCTTGGCGCCTAACACGCGTCCAATAACTGGAACTTGAAGATCCAGATCCCTTATAACGACCTCCCTTACACGCTTGTCAAGATCTTGAGCTCACAAACTGTCTAGAATGAAGGAAGTCATCGCCGAGAACAAACACCATCCGACACTCTCCTCAAACTAAAGTGACAACCTTAGTCACGTCCACAACGAAATACGTCATGGCCGGAAGCAAACACTGTCCCACACTCTCCTCTCCCTAACGAACCAACACTCCTTGAAACAATCTTGATAATCCATGAACCAATCTCAATACTCCCTGAAACGAAGCCTCAAGCTCACAGATCCGTCTAGGACCAAAGGAATCATGAGGTGTCATGGACAAAAAAACACCATCCCACACTTTGTTACTTAGTTGGCCTCCCTTACAAACCCACACTCCCTGAAACGCTCTTAATACTCCGCAATTCGATACTCTAAGCCTACAAACCAATCATGACAAAATGGGAGCTCCGCCGTCCCTATCAAACCTATACGCTCCCTCTGAATCACTGAGCCTCACATACATCACTTGACAGAAAGAGCCGTAGATGCTCGGGAGCGCAGAACAGCATCGATTTCACGGGCACAAGAGCCTCCATCCCTAATGATGGCCCAAGGATAAGCAGAACATCACGCTGACGCAAACTCCAGACACAAACACAGCACAAAGCTCCAAGCCTCCAAAGCTACAAAGCTCCAAGCCTCCAAAGCTACAAAGCTCCAAGCCTCCAAACCTTCAAGCCTTCAAACCTCCAAGCCTTCGAATCCAGTACCGCCAGACCTCCTGGACTCTTCGACCCTACCTCTCAAAACGTATACGACCTGTCGACAACGCTAAGATTAGCATATACAGATACAAACAGCACATCGGCCGCGTGGTACAAAGACGAGTCAGAAGCTATGAGCTAGGGAGATTACGAGCCGTGCGCTTCGGAGGCTAGGAGGTTTGTGTTGGGATATATAACACTCTATGTGATTACGGGGTCATGAGGAGGGGATGGAAGAGAAGGAGAAGAGACGGAAGAAGAAGAGTACCACAACTCCCTCAATGGAGAGAAGCTGTATGAACGAAGTCACGCACCACTACAGTTCTCACAGGTCCCTCACACCCGTGAAGCACATATCATACACCTATTCCGCATTCCAACATACCACAGCAAGCCGCAGCAAGACATGAGAAGTGAGAATTAGAGGCCAGGATAACACACAGACTCGTACGAGAGATCATAATGGTAGAACGTAAGAGGAAAACATGGAGAAGGCGGTTATATATCCATACTGATGCGCTTATTATAGCCCTCAAGCCTCACAAACCTTGCCAGCTCGTCAAGCATCAAACACGCGAACCACACGAATCACGCACCCTCCTCGTGCCTCAGGACGACATCGGATATTATCCTATGAACCAACGGCTATTCAAATGAAAAAGACGGATACTATGAGAAGGAAGAGAAGGAAGAGAAGGAAGAGAAGGAAGAGAAGGAAGAGAAGGAAGAGA